TGCCAAGCGTCACCCTTGAAGTGCGGCAACACGTGGAAGTCAATCGTGACGCTTGCTTCATCAATGCGGCCCCAGCCGTAACTCCATTCCGGCGCCGGCGGCGCCTCGGCGGCGGCGGGGTCCGTGAGGAAGGCGATGAGGTCCGCCCGCTCGGCGTCGCTGGGCCGGCGGCCCTGTGTCTGGCGGAACATCCACTCGACGCGCGCCGCCTCATCCGCGCCGGCTTCCGCGCTGTGCTCAGCCAAAGCCGCGGCGTTGGCGATCATCAACGGGCTATTGAGGAAGTAGAGCGCCTGTTGCGGCGAGACCGTCACCGCGCGGTTCGAGGCGTGCGTGTCGGGGCTCGGAAAATCAAACGTACGGAAGAACGCGGGAAGGTTCTGGCGTTCAACGAATCCATAGACCGCGCGGCGTGTGGTCGGCGTGTCGCCAACCAGTTGTTGCGAGGGGCCGCCCATCGCCAAGTCGAGTCGCCCGCACGCTTGCAGCACCGCGTCGCGGCTCGCCTCGAGGTCCAGCCGCCGCCGTTCGCGACGTGTGAGCAACGTATTGCCGGGGTCGGTTTCAAGCGACGCCGGCGGCGCCTCGCAATTCTGGCGGTAGACGCTCGACAGCACGATCCGTCGCACCAGGCGCTTTGTCGACCAACCGTCGTCGATCAGCGTTGTGGCGAGGTGGTCGAGCAGCTCGGGATGGGTTGGCGCCTCGCCACGCAACCCAAAGTCGCTCGCGGTCGCCACGAGGCCGCGCCCGAAGAGCCACCCCCACACACGATTGGCCCAGACGCGCGCGGTGAGTGGGTTGTCGGGGCTAGCGATCGCTTCGGCGAGTTCGCGCCGCCCGCTCCCCTTCTCGAACGGCCGGCGATCCCCGTCGGTCACGCACTCCAGGAATTGGCGCGGCGTCGGTTCGCCCCGCATGCCGGGGTTGCCGCGGAGGAAGACGACCTGCTGCACCGGCTCGGCGCGATCGACCAGCACCGGGGGGCAGTTCTCGGGCTTCTGCTCTTCGCTGCTGGCGAAGACGCTGTAGAGCGAGTAGTAGTCGGCCGTTGGGATCGGGTCGTACTTGTGATCATGGCACCGCGCGCAGGCGACGGTGAGCCCGAGCATGCCGCGGGTGACGACGTCGATGCGGTCGTCAATGATGTCGTGCGGGTTGTTGAGGAACCGCCGCCCGAGTGTCAGGTAGCCCATCGCCTCGCGCGGCGCTTCCTCGCCGAGTTGATCGGCCGCGATTTGCGCGATGAGGAACTGGTCGTAAGGCAGGTCATCGTTGAAGCTGGCGATCACCCAGTCGCGGTAGCGGTAGGCGTTGGGGTAGTTGCGATCCTCCTCGAAGACATAGCCCTTGGTGTCCGCGTAGCGCGCCACGTCGAGCCAGTAGCGGCCCCAGCGCTCGCCAAACCGCGGCGAAGCGAGCAACGCATCGACAATCGCTTCGTAGGCCTCGTCGCTCGGGTCGTTCTGGAAGCGCTCGATCTCGGCGGCCGTCGGCGGCAAGCCGGTGAGGTCGAAGTAGACGCGACGTAACAGGTCGTGCGACGTGGCGGCCGGCGCCGGCTCAACGCCGGCCTCGCGCTGCTTAGCGGTAACGAACGCGTCGATCGGCGTGCGGACCCAGGCGGACTCGACCTGCGGGACCTCGGGCCGTTCGATTGGCTGGAACGACCAATGCGACTTGGCGTCGATCGTCGGCGGCTCGGTGATTGGCTCGTCACCTTCGCGCGGGTCGTGGGCGCCGGCGGCGATCCACTCGGCGAACGCGGCGATCGTCTCGTCCGGCAGCTTGCCGGAGGGGGGCATCTCGTAGCCCTCGTAACGCAACGCCTGGAGCAGCGGGCTGTCGTCGGGTGTGTCGGCGGAGAGGACCGGCCCCGAGTCGCCGCCACGGCGCATTGCCGCGGCCGTGTCGAGCCGCAGACCGCCCTGAGTGACGCCGCTCGCCTGCGAGTGGCACGGATAGCAGTGCTCGATCAGCACCGGGCGGATGCGGCGCTCGAAGTGGTCCAGCGCGGAGCCATCGCCAAACGCGCCGCCAGCCAACAACGCCCAGGCGAGCGTCGAGGCAAGGCTCAGGACCGCAACCCAGCGTTTCCGCATCCTTCGTCTCCGCAACATCCTGGCAGCGAGACAACATCAGCGGACGGGGCCCGCCGATGTACCAACTTCGGTACTCCCCACAGGATGACGTTCTTCGCGGCCAATCGCTAGCGGATTTGCGCAGCCGTTGACGCCCTTCGTAAGACGTCGCACACCGAGCGGGTTCCGGCACGGCGCGCGATCTCGTCATGAACTTCCTGACGATGCTCACTGCCCCGCGCACTGGCGCAACCCGTTGCCGGGAAGAACCTTACAGCGAACCCAGCACCTGCGGCCTTCGGCAAAAGCGCAGGGCTATCTCTCCGGGCGCCGAAATTTGAAGATTTCGTGTTGCCTTTACTTACCATGCCCCGTTGCTTGGTCAGAGCGGTTAGGCCGGACGCCTGACCGCCTCTGCTGACCAGAGAAGACGGCTGGCGGGCGGCTTACTCCAAGACAAGCGACCCCTCAATAAATCGACGGAGCGTCGGTGCCGGGCTCAAAGGTTGAACCAGACGACTTCGTGATGCTGCTGGCGCGGCAAGGGCCCCGGGTGCGGGCGTTTGTCGCCACGCTCGTCGGCTACGACGCCGACATCATCGACGAGGTCATGCAGGCGACGATGCTCGTCGCTTGGAAGAAGCTCGATACGTTCCGCTACGAGGAAGAGCAGCCGACCGAGGAACTGATCCGTTGGGTCTGCACGATCGCTCGGTTTGAGGTGCTGGGCTACCTGCGGGACAAAAAACGCCGGCAGACGTTGGCGTTCGACGAACATCTGGTGGGCGAGCTGGCTGAGTTGCAAGACGAGAAGAGCGACCTGCTCGACGCGCGGCGCTCGGCGCTGCGGGGTTGCCTCAAGCAACTCGAGCCCAAGCAGCAAGAGGCGATCCGGATGCGTTACGGCGTCGGCCTGTCGATGACCGAGGTCGCGACCCGCCAGAACCGCAGCGTCAAAGCGGCTACCGTCGCGATGTGCCGGGTCCACAAGGCCCTGGAACGATGCATCCGACAAGCGCTCAGCCGTGAAGGACTCGCCTGAGAAACGGCTTTGTGGGAGGCGTCTCCAGACGCCG